AAGATGTTCCCTAAAGCTCTGCAAACCACACATCACACTTCCAGGGCCTTCCTCATTTCCCTAGCCCAGAGCCAGGTATAGCAGGAGGCTCCACTCTTGGGTGACCAAGGACAGGCAGCCTCACAGCACTGGCCAAACACTGCCAGGAAGCCTTCCTCAGGGATTCAGATGCTTAGGGCTGCGTGACACCTCTCTCCAACGCCTGCCTTGGGCTGACTCCGTTTCACATAGAACTCTCTGGACATCCTTGCTTAGGGATCCTGCTGGGCAGGTTAGAGGTGATGTGGTGGGATATACCCAAGCAGCCTAGGACACGGCTGGCTCCACAGAGCGTGTGACTGCAGAGCACAGCAGACAGAGCCCTAGGTTAGCATCCCTGCTTGACCCTGTAACTTCGACTAGGCTCTATGTGCTTGAAAGTAAACAGCTATGTTTTAGTGTGTAGAAGCCGCTCAGAATGGCAAAGCTGGGCGTCCAGATAGGGGAAGATACACTGCTGTGGCCACTGCACAGCCACAAAAAGTTACATTACATCGAAAAGCAAAGCAGAAACTGACGAGAACTGTTGTGCTATTTGTATTGAAAGAGTCTTTGTAGTTTTATTCTACTCTATTTTTAGATGCAATGACTGAGAAATATGTTAGAGAGACTGTAAAATAGGTACAGGGTGTGGCAGGGGTACCAGAGGAAAGTGGGAGGGTGAACGAAGGAGATTAAGATGACATTATATGGTTGATGGACTTCATTGTATCTATACGAAACGGAACAAAGAAACCTCTTGCAATTGCTTTAAGTGGGGCGGGGAGAAGATTGAGGGGGAGAGACAGCGGGGGTGAACTAACTAATGTACAATATAAGTCTAATCGGAACTGTCATTATGAATCCCGCCCCCCGCATAACAAATATATCCTAATTTTTAAAAAAATGACTCATCAGCCACTACTGGGTTGTAGGACAGCAAGCTCTGTCTTGTGCTCACATAGGTGGTTTGCTTTCCCTTAAACCATAAGCTCCTTGGGGGAAGACAAAACCCCACTCACTTACTCATGAACTCAACAGTAATTTATCAGGCAAATACGATGTTTTCAACGCTGTTCCAGTTGCTAGGGATACAGCAATAAGTGGAGTCAACCAGTTTGCCTTCTTGAAATTTACATTCTAGTGGAAGAGTCAATAAAAAGGACAACCAAATCAAAGACAGTACATTATATATGCACAGAAGCAAAATAAAAAACATCAGGAAAAGAAACTGGTAGAGTGAGCCAAGAGGTGAGCAAAGATGTGGAGGGAAAACAAGTCAGATGTACAGCTATGAAAGCGATGAAGGGAGGATCAGATGGTGGCTGCCAAGGATCAGCAAGGCCAGGCTGCCTGAAGTGACAGGGGTGTGGCTGGAGAGGTCAAGAGAGTGGATGGGGGGGAACCAATGGCCCCCCCATATGGAGACTTTGGTTTTTATCTCAAGTGATAGGAGAAGCCTGGAGGGTGTGAGTAGTGACAAGTGTTTTTAGTAGAGAACTGACTGCTAGGCGAGAGCACAGAGCATTGGACAAAGCTCAGAGGCCAGAGACTAGAAGAAGGCTGTTCTAGGGACCAGGCCACAGCAGTGGCAGTGGAGATGGTGACAGGAGGGTGAACTAAACTTATTTTAGATGATCTGTGGATGGATGGTCAGATGTGGGGTTGGAGAAACAAAGAAGAGGATGACTCTGAGGGTTTGGCTGAAACAAGATGATGGATGGGAGCTGGCAGCTCATGCCTGTAATCCTAGCTATTCAGGAGTCAGAGATCAGGAGGATCATGGTTCAAAGCCAGCCCGGGCAAATAGTTTGCGAGACCCTATCTCAAAAAAAACTTGGCTCAAGGTGTAGGCCCTGATTTCAAGCCCCAGTATAGTCCCAGGATGCAGTTTCCTGTGACAGGGGAGGGTGGAAGTAAGTTGGGGGGAGGCCAGGCTGGAAGATGAAGGTGGGTTATAGCCACATGAATGACATTTTAGAGCTGTGAGCCTAAATGTTAATTCACTAGACACAGAAACAGTGCCTATTCTGTGCCAGGCCTGTGCAGGCCACTGGGGATATCTCAGTGCATAAAATAAACATCTTGACCTGAAGACTGACATTCTAGAAAGGGGAAGGCAGATAACAATATGGAGCCAAGAACGAACGAGCAAGAGAAAGAGACGGTGCTGAGCATGGTGGGACACACCTGTAATCCTAGCACTTGGGAGGCTAAGACAGCTGGATCACCACATTTGAGGCCAGCCTGAATTACATAGAGAGCCTCTGTCTCAAAAAAACCAAAAGCACAAAGTCCTGAGTTTAAACCCAAGTACTGAGCAAAAAATAGAAAAGAATAAATAAGAGATAAGGAACGAAGGATCAAGAATGACCACTGGAGTTAAAGCAATTTGGGCGTAGTGTTGTGTACAAACAAAGTTTGACTCAAATGAATTCCAGAGAGATACAGGCAGTTAGTATAGAAAAGGCCTTCTACCTTTCAAGACAAACAGGACAGTGGCTAGAGAAGAATGGGGTCAAGAAAGGAAAAACAGCTCTGTGCAGGCTGATGGGGAAGATCCAGAGACAGGCAACAGAGAAGGGGAAAGAACCCCCAGGACCTGGAGATGAGGGAAAGGGGCAGTAGCGGGACAGGAGGTGGAGACTTGGGCCTGGATGCAGCAGGAAGAGTTGGTGGGAGCAGCTGGACACTGCTTGCAGGTAGATCGTCCAAGTGAGCCTAGCACAAACACAACAGGCTGTGGCTAGGTGAGTGACCCTGGGCAAGGTACCTAGCCTGTCTGATGCTCAGTTTCCTTTCATTTCCCCAGTTTTTTAAAATTTTTGTTTGTTTTGTTTTGGGGGGTTCTGGTCTCTGAACTCAGAGCCTCTACTTGGTGAACAGGTGCTCTACCCCTTGAGCCATCTATAATCGTCTTGCTCTCTGACTCCCTAGTAGCTGGGGTTACAGACTGTGAGCTACTATACCCAGCTCCTGAGATCAAGAAATCCTCCTGCCTCAGCCCCGAGTAGCTGGGATTACAGGTACACAGCAGCACACCTGGCTCAGTTTCTTTTTCTGTAAAACGGAAAACATAATACCTCCCATACTTCACTTCCACAAGATAGCATATTAGGCAAGTTCAGTATATCGTAAGGGCCCAGAGAAAGCTGGGAACTCCTTGAGTCACCAGAATGAACTGCCAGTTCTTCCTAGTGGCAAGGAGGGTAGAGGTATGAGTGGGTCAGGAAAGTGAGGCCTGAGATGTGGTAGAGAGGTCAGAGCCCATGGCCATAAAAAAAACAAGCTGTGAGACTTATCTGTCCCTGGGACAGGCTGAGTCCCTGCATACCCTGCTCCTAGAACCACCCCTCCTAAACTCCCGTTTCCCCTCCTCACTTTCCCCCAGATTTGCAGATCTGTGCTCACACACTCTCTACCAAGACTGGCTCCTCCCAAGGAAGCTGGATCAAGCCCACTCCCCTTGGTTCTCACTAAGGCCAATATGTACAGAGACTCTGGAAATGCCACCACCTGAATGACAAGTGACAAAGACATTCATCATCAGCCTGAGAGCTTTCTTTGTGCCAGGCACTGTCCCAGGTGCTGAAGACACAGTGATGAACAAACTGAAAGTCCCATGCAAGGCTGCCACTCCCACAGACCTGTGTGCTCTTTCATTGCGCTCCTGTGGTGGTCTAGACACAGTGCCTGGCCAAAGCATCCTAACCAGATCCCCAAGTCCTACTCAAACCAATTGCCAGCAAGACAAAGAGTCTTTTTCCCTGTGACTTGGTCCTTCTGGCTTCACCGTTTCTCCTGGTCTGCATACCTTCCCTACTTTCATCCTTGGAAAGTTCTAGAAAGTCTTCCCAGACTGCCTCATGTTCACATCCATCAGATCAACTAACCTGACCAACCTTTTCCAACTCCTACGTCCACAATTTCAAAACTTTTTTCCAAAATAGTGGTTGGATCTTTACTCAAAATCTTCAGAGAACTTCCATGTATACATGATCATACAGAAAGTAGAACACGCTGGGTCTTGGTGGTTCTCACCTGTAATTCTAAATACTTGGGAGGCTGAGATCATGAGGATCATGGTTGGAGCCAGCCTGGCAAATAGTTTGAGAGATCCCACCTCCAAAATAACCAAAGAAAAATGGACTGGAGGTGTGGTTCAAGTGGTAGAGCACCTGTTTTGCAAGCATGAAGACCTAAGTTCAAACTTCAACACTGCCCCTAACCAAAAAAAAAAATGTACAGACACTCTGGTTGAAGCCTCACAGAGTTCTAAGAAATCAGCTCTGGGTTCTTCAAAACAGCTGAAGCCACCAACTAGAGGCTGTGCTCTGCCTGGAGCTGCCCTGTGGGCCCCTAGTCTGAGGCTTCACTGCCTCTAAGTGTACCCCTGACAGACTGTTTCTTGAGTTAAGCCTGATTTACTCATGGTCACTTCCTGGGCTTCCCTCTGGACTGGGTTCCATGGAATCTTGTCACTGCATTACTCAGTGTCCTCTGTAGTTTCTGGGCTACTTCCAAGTTCCACAAATTGTGTCAGTGCTGCTCCATCCCTGTTCTATTATTCAGTCTGGCTTGTGAAGCCCCATCCTTCCACTCTATCCACTCACCCACATCACCTTAAACCTCAGGGATTCTCTCCTCCTCTACTCACCACCCTAGACAGGTAGAGTTTGGGCACAGGGCACCCTGGGACTCGAAACGCAGGCTCCCTTCCAGCATGAAACCAGAAGATCCATTAAACAGTGCAGAGGCCAGCCATCTACAGGAGATCCATGGGCGAGCGAGGAGACTCAGAAACGCTCAAGTCCAAGCGGGGTGCGTGGGCTCGGGAAGGCAGCACTGCAACGTGACTCAAGCTGAAACTTGAGACAGTTAGAACCACGATCTACATGAAGCGGGAAGGCCTATCCCAGGAGGACAAACAGGGGCACCCGTTTTGGTAAATAAGCAAACAAAAGCACATGTGTGCATATACACACAGAGCTTTGTGAAAGGTGGAAGGATACAACCAAACTGTTAAGAGTAGACACTAGTAAATCCCCAGAACCTGGGAATGTCTTATTCCACAGCAAGGGGAAATTAGGCTGTAGATGGAATTAAGGTTGTTAAAACAGATTAAAAAATAAGAGATGGGCTGGGTTATGGCTCAGCAGCACAGCCCTTGCCTTCCAAGGCCCTGGTTCCACCCCCTACACAGCAAAAATAAATAATAAATAGATAAATTACTCTGGATTACGTAAGTGAGCCCACAATGGCCCTTAAATGAGGAAAAGGGAGGCAGATGAGTTAGAACCAAAGACAACAGGGGGAGAACCTCCACCAGCCACTGCTGGCTTTGAGGATGTTAGGAGACCACAAGCCAAAGAATGTGGGAGGCCTCTAAGCCAGGAAGACAAGAGAACAAATTTCCCCCTAAAACTTCCAGAAGGGAACAAACACAGCCCTGCCAACACCTTGAGTTTAGCTCGGGAGGACACATATTGACTCTGACTTCCATAACTATAAAATGTGTGTTTTAAGCCACTAAATTTGTAGTAATTTGTTACAGTAGCAAACAAGAAACTCATACAAAGACTATGGGGAAGAAGAAATTATCTCCTTGAGACTTAGCTTCTTTGTCTATAAAAATTCAAACTCATGATCCTTTTGCCTCAGCTAGTTGAGTGCTGGGATTATAGGCACCACCACACCTGGGACCAAATGAACTGCATATAAAAACTTCTTAATACCACCGGGATACAATACAAACAAAAGCACTTACTGTCACTATTAGGAACTTACTGAGCTGGTGTCTCCATAGAGTGTCACCTGACTATTCTGACACCTGGGTTTCTTGTTTTTAAGACGGTATCTCATTACATAGCCCAGGCCGGCCTTGGACTCTTGATCTTCTTGCCTCAGCCCCTGGAGTGCTGGGATTACAGGGGTGCAGCACCACATCTGACTCCACACCTGCTTGAATTGCTGAGTGCCCCATTTGGGTCTAAGTTCCAGCTGGAAGCAGCCTCATGTGTAGACTTAGGGAGGAGGGTGTCAAGGCTTCTGGGGAGATGCTGGCCTAGCTCAGCCTAATGAACAACTCCAAGAAACTCCTAAGAACACTTAGAAATGCTTAGCTCTCTGGCCAGCCTTCCTCACCATTCCCACTCCTTCCCCTCAATCCTTGGCGTGTCTCCAGGATACCTGAGCACCAGCCACCTCTATCTTGGTTAGAACCCAGGGGTGCTGACTGCCCACCTTCCCCTGTCTACCCTTCTCAGGAGGGCTCACCTGAAGAGGGGCTTTCTGGCTGGGGAAGGCCTTCTTCTGTCACTTTGACCTCTTTAGGGGAGTCCTTGCTGTCTGCGGTCCTAAGCTGGGTATGGGAGAAGAGCTGGAGGACAAAGCCTGGAGGGAAGCTGCCATCTGTGAAGTGTCGGACCTCAGCTGGTGCTGTGAACGCTTCTGTGGGTAAGTCGGGGGAGGGGGGATCTAAAAGGAGACAGGGAGAATTGTGTGTGGAAGAGGCCAGAACCCAAAAGCCTGATCCCCCAAGCCCCAGGTAAACTGCAGGTGCCTTCTCTCTGGCTCCACCCAGTCTCACCAACCTGTAATTTCTTACAGGCCAACAGCCAGGTCCCACGCCCACCACTCCAGGACTTCCCCTCACCTGGGTCAGGATCCAGGTTTTTGGTCATTGGCCTGCCTCTCTTCTTTCTGACAGGCTCTTCCCCTGGGGGTTCCTTCCATCTCTGACCACGGGGCTTCTTATTTCCTGGCTCTGTGGCAGGGGCAACTGCAAAAGGAAAGACCTTAGATCTTTATTTCTTGGCAGTACCAGAGTTTGAACTCAAGGCTTCATGCTTGCTAGGCAGGCGCTCTACTGCTTGAACCACTCTGCCAGCCTGATCTTAGGCCTTTTAGGAGGCTCCTATGTCTCAACCCTGCAATCCCAGGCTCCTGAGGACACCTGCCCGCCCTAGCCCCACACTCATCATCACAAACTCTGTTGACTGACCAAGAAGCTCAAGCGGGCGGAGTCCTCTGGGCCGGCTCCTTTTAGGGAGGGATGGGTTGTCCTCGGAGTCCAGGAGGACCACAATCTCCGCTGGCATCTTGGCAGGGTCTGGGTTGGAGCCGGGGTCTGGCTCGACATCCTGGCCTGATTCTGAGGGGGCAAAAGCCCACTGAGCTCCCATAGCTCCCATGGGCCCTGTTTTTCCCTCGGCCCCCACCCTCCCTACCTGGGCTGGGTAGGGACGGCTGCTCAACTTGGACATCTTGTAGGAGGGCCACCCCCTCACTCCAGGCCTCTAGGATGTTGTTCTTCTCGGAGGGACTGAGGTCCAGAGTGTGAGGATGCTGCTCCAGGATGTGTGTGCGAGCCGTGTCTGCCGAAGGGAACCGGATCTCGGCCCCACACACCATGCACAGTGCCCGCCCGCTGCCTCCGGGGCTGTTCCCCACCAGGAACTCCTGTTCCCAAGACATGTGCTGCTTGGGCTCCTCACAGCCATCTACACCTGCCTCCAACAGGTGGGGTCGAGGTGGTGGGGTCTTCTCCTGTTGGGTCACTGTGCCAAGGAGGGGAAGGGTGTTGTCAGTCAAGGTGCCTGGGGCAGGTGGTGCTCGGAATACACCTGTGTAAGGCAGGTGGGCAGGTAAGGGGGGCATTCCCTCCAGTGTTCTTCCCATGGATCCCACGAAGCACCTGCCATGTGTACAGCCCACGCTGCTCTCGCTTCTCCACCTTCTCTCGCCTCTCTACCTTCTCTCATCTAGTCCTGGGCCTTAGGTGAAATGTTTCCCAGGTCACCAGACCCTGCACACCTGCCCAGATCCCTCATCTGATATCATCCCTGAGAGCTCTCCAGATCCCCTCACCCCTGACAGCTGACTTCAGTCAACTATCAACAAATGACTTCTAAGCCATAGTGTATTGCATTTTTTTTTTTTTGGTGGTACTAGGGATTGAGCTCTGGTCCTTACTCTTGCTAAGCAAGTGCTCCCAGTCCTTTTACTTTGCTTTTCAGATAGGGTCTCAGCTAATTTTGTTCAGGCTGGCTTCAAACCTCCATCCTCCTGTCTTTCCCTCCTGAGCAATTGAGATTACAGGTGCATCACCATCCCCAACTAGCGTATACTTTGAGTTGCTAAATTTTATCATATTATACCCTAAGGGCCTGTCTATTATTCCTCCACCTTTTGAGGCCCCTTCAGAAGGCCACCCCACCCTCTCACCACTAGCAGTGATGGCCTTGCCCCCTTTTGGCGGTGTGCCACCTGCTCTCTGTACTCATGGATCAAAGGCTGTGACAGGGCAGGAACCCTTTTCAGCTCAAAAAAGGCAGCACTGGCAGCTCAGTGCTTCTGCCAAATGCCTGAGATCCCTTTGCTATGATGTCTCCCTCAACCAGAGAGGAGGGACACAATACAAACTGGGAGGCCTTAATACCTGGGAGCTGCATGGAACAGGTGGAGAGGTGGCATCTGGAGTGGATCTGAGCCTTGGCTTGGACCCAGACAATGTAGGTCCCAGCTGGGTTGCACCCACCTCCCAAGTGACAGAACCCCAGTCCTCTTACGATCCATTTTCTTCCCTACACTCTCCCAAACCAGCTCTCATGAAGGTCACCAACGCACCCAGTTCTTTTTCATTTTTTTTTGGTGGGACTGGGGTTTGAACTCAGGGCTTCATGCTTGTACAGCAGGTGCTCTACAGCTTGAGTCACACCTCCAGGCCTTTTTGCTTTGGCTATTTTGGAGATGGTAGTCTTACAAACTATTTGCCTAGGTTGGCCTCGAACCTCAATCCTGCCCTTGGTTCTCTTACTTCTTCACTATTCCTTCTCAGTCACCTGTGAGGGTTCTTCCTCATCTCCCTTACCATGTCACATATTTGCCTGGCTCTCACACTCTATTGCTAAGCACCCTGAAGGAAGCTGTCACTTCCCACATGTATACCCCCACTTGTTTTACTTGTGCACTGTCTACCATACCATGAGCCCTCAACAACACAGATATCTGATGCTTTGCACCTAAATCTCCAGCACCAACAATAGTGCATGGCAGACAGGGGGATTCACCTGAGGGAATGATGAGGGACTGACTCAATCTACACCCTGCAATACCTGGAGGATTCCAGGGCTCAGTCCTTGGAGCTCTCTGTGTTGGTCTCCTTCCTCACCCCATTGCCCACGGCTGACAACTCCCATATTTACATCTCCCGCCATACTCTACCATGAAGTCTACACTCAGGTACCCAACTGTATAGCTGATCTCTCCAACTGAGCCTTTAACAGGCATCTTTTATTTATTGATTGATTTACTTATTTTATTTTTTTGATAGTACTGGGTTTGAACTCAGGGCCTCACGTTTGTTCAAAGTGCTCTACCACTTGAACCATTCTGCCAGTCCTTTTTTGTGCTGGTTATTATTATTATTATTTTTTTTTTGTGGTTCTGGGGCTTGAACTCAGGCCCTTTGTTATGTTAGGTATTTTCGAGAGAGGCTCTGGCGGAATTAATTGCCCGGGGCTGGCTTTGAATTGCAATCCTCCTGATCTCTGCCTCCTGAGTAGCTAGGATTACAGGCGTACCCGGCTCTGTGCTGGTTATTTTTGATATAGGGTCTCAAACTACTTGTCCTAGCTGGCTTTGAACAGTGATTCTCCTGATCTCTATCTCCCGAGTAGCCACCAGCAACAGGCGTGAGCCACCAGCACCCAGCTTATTTACTTACTCATTTTTAAGACAGGGTCTTGCCAGGGTAGCCTTAAACTTTTGATCCTCCTGCTTCAGCCTTCCAGTTTTAGGATTACAGTTGTGCTCACCAGGCGCAGTTTGTAATATGCATGTTGAATTTACCATATTCAAAACTTAACTCCCGATCTCCCATAAGCCTACACCCCCAGCCTCCTCTATCTCAGTAAACAGGAAGGCCATCCTTCCAGTTGCTCAGGCCAAAACCCTCAAATTCATCCTCACACACATCTCAAATCTTCCAGGAGCCTGTGCCTCAGACTTTTGCACTTGCTCTTCTCTCTGCCTAAAACACTCTTCCTGTCTCCAGTCATACCATCCTGAATGCTCTGGATCTCAAATAAAATGCTCTTCCTCCAGCTAGCTCCAAGGCTGAGTCATCTTATTAGCGAAGCCTTTCTTAACCACTCAATAAAGATCTTTCCTTTCTCCTTACCCTGCTTTAGTGTACTCTAAACTAGTTAAGGCCACCTGACATACTATATTCTTATTTACCTGTTTGTCAGTCAACAGGATGTACATGTTCAAGGGCAAGATGTCACCTGCATTGTTTACCACTGCTATAGTCGCCAGCCTAAAACACCACCTGGTATAAAGGAGGTGCCCAATAAGTACTGGCTGAATGAATAAACCTCTCTAAACTTCTATTTCCTCCCTAACAGTGGGGATGAGGCCATCCTTGTAGGGCTGTTGACCACATTAACTCAGACAGCCTTGGATGATAGCAGAGGATGCACTCCATAAACATCAGCATAAGCTGAAAAATAAGCCTGTGCAGTGGGCTGAATGCTCTGAGAGGAATAAGGCCTTTACTTCCCTCACTAGTTTTGTAACTCTCCTCTTTCCAAAAAGGATGGGAGACTGTGCAGACAAAGTAGACATCCTTATGTTCAGGTGGAAGTACAACCTCGACTGGCACTGTCCTTAAGGGAAAGAGGTACTGACAACAGGGAAAAATGTGCGTTTTCATGAATATTGTCTTTCACAAAGATGGCTCTTTGTTATGCTCTGCAAGCCCCTGAGGACTAAACAAATTGATAAAGGGGGAGAGGAAAGGTGAAGGGAGAGGGGAGGGCCAGAGGTTCCACATTGTCCCTCAAGTCACCTCCCATTACAGGCTCTTAGCTGACTCTTTTTAGATGGCTAAGGGAACCCCCTGGCAAACACCGCTTCCCCCAACTGGGTGCTGCACGCAGCACCATTCATGGTACTTGCTCTAGAATCCGACACCTGTGGCTTGCGCAAGGCAAGGCCTGGGGATGGGGGCGGTGGGGCGGGAAAGCTTTATACTTGGAGGGCTCTTCAAATTCTCCGGTTAGAGGTCGACAGCGGCGCCTGCCTCCACCCTCCGAATCGCAACGCGCCCAGCCTCGGGCCTAGAGGCCTTGCCGCCCCTCGGCCTAGGACACAGCCAGGCCGGGGGAGAGACGGCGGCAGCGGGCAGCCCGCGCCTCTGGGGATCCGGCATCCGAGCTGCGCCCGGGCAAGGGGGCGCCCAGGCACCGGAAGATCCGTCGCGCGCGGGGCGTGGATCGAAGTCTCCAGACCCTGGGCGGGGGTGGGGGAGGGGAATTCGGGGAGGCCAGGGATTCCAAACCCTGGTGGGGGAGGAGCAAGAGCGCGCCCTGGCCGCAGATCGCAGGGGGAGGGGGTGCCGCGGCCCCAGACCCGAGGGGCAGGGGTGGCCCAGGCCCCGGCAGGAGGGGGGCCGAGCCCCGAGCCGTGATACGGAAGTGGGGGGGTCCCCCTGCCATCCTCACCTCTGAGCATCGGCTCGGGCCGCGGAATTACGGCCACCACCACGGCCTCCTCGTCGTCCTCTCCTTCCTCGCACTTGAGCGTCACCTCGAAGCAGTCGAGCGCGGCGCCCTCGGCCCTTAGAGCCATGGTGCAGCCGCTGTGACCCGACGCGGGAGGACGGGCGCGCAGGCCTCGAATGCCGCCGGCGGCCACCTCCCGCCCGGACCACGCCGGGCCCGCGGTCGGGCCCGCGTACCCGCCGCTAGCCCGCCCGCCCGGTCTGCCACGCACCTCAGATCGCTGCAACCCCGGGCGGGGAGGGCTCGATCCGGGCCCCGGCCCCCACCTCTCCCTTTTATGGAGGCTTATTGTGGGTGCCCGCCCTGCAGCCCCGCCCCTAGACCCTCACAGCCAATCAGAAAAGGCTCCGCCCATGCCCCGCCCCGGGCATGCGGCGCTGTTACAATCCCGGGGATCCCGGGGCGGCTGGATCGGTCTTGCGGACTAGAGACCCCGAATTCCCCAGGCTGGGGCGTCCGGAGCCGGTCCCCGGACCTCTATTGACACCCAGCTTTGCGGCTGGTTTGCAGTCGCAACCCGGAGCCCTAGGACTTTGATCGGTGTCGCTTTTGCCTTTCCATGGACAAGCCATTCAGAAAGGAGTCCCAGGCGGAAAGAGAACTGCGGGGTTGCGGGAAGAGAACTGCGGGGCTGCGGGAAGAGAACTGCGGGGCTGCGGGAAGAGAACTGCGGGGCTGTGGAAAGGGCCTTGGCTTGGAAGCTAGAGACTGAATTCCTTCTGATCTGGCAGCTGTGAGGCCTTGGACACTTCGATCATCTCATCTTTTCTTTCAAAAACCATTTTGGACCTTTCTGGACAAAGGAATGGAAAGATGAAGAGGACCTGAATGGAACGTGGTCGCATCTAACTTGCCCCGCCCCCCGCCCCCGCATGGATTTCTGGTTTTTAAACATGAGTTCAGAGATTGTGTGGCCCTACCCCAGGACACACACCGCAATCCCTTGAGAGCCCCAAGACCACGGTCCAGTTGCCATGACACTGCTGTGGTGCAATCATGTTCTGGGTGACTTTTTACTCTGTCACATAGAAAGGGCAAGTCTTCTTCTGCAGAGACCTTCGTGAGAATGTCAGTTGAGAAAATGCAAAATGTCTTACACTGAAAATCCACCTTAAAACGCCACTATGCCAGGCCTGACACACAGACCTTGCCCAGGCTAGGCAAGCATTCTACCATTGAGCTACAATTCCAGCCCTTAAGTTTTTTTGAGATGGGATCTCTCTATGTAGTCTACCTTCGAACTCTGATCCTCCTGCCTTTGCCTCCTGCTGTTCTGGGATTACAGGCGTGAACTACTTGCTCCCCTCCCCATTACAATATATATTTAAAGGAAATTTTTGTTACTTTTGAGTGTATCTAGTACTTGATTTTGCAAATAAAGGTATTACAAAGCCGGTTTAATTTCTATGTAATTGTTGTTCTCTGCAATTAGCAACAGATCATGTCTTTGTGCTTCTCTTTTATGTATTAAAATGACTGAGCCCTGAAGAGGGCAGTCTTTCATCCTCTCAGGACAGCCAGCTTCAGGCATGGGTTTGGCCAGTGGGAGACAGTGGCAGGAGACTCGAAGGCAGGAGGGAGGAAGCAGCAGCAAAGGCTCCTTTGTGGTTCTGCTCCTACTGGACAGGTAGCCATAGTAGGCCCAACATTTGCAGGGCGATCCACAGCCCTGGCTTCCATTAATCTACCTCCTCCTTCGGGCAGCTTCTTGTTAACTCTTGGGTTGCCACACCGACTCTTGTTGGGATTCTCAGCCCTTCCAAGGCTCCAGTGACTTTAATGCAATAACCTGCATTAAATTCTCTCTATGGTTCCTATTTTTCTGCTTGAACTCTGAACGATGTATCCAGTATTCTACCAGACACTTACTAGGCACTTTTTTCTTGGTCCTCACAAATCTTTTCTAATAGATCATATTGTCCATGTTTTATAAAGAAGGAAGTTGAGGCATAAAGAGATACATTACTAGCCAGGTCCTGTGGTACATGTCTGTAATCTCAGCTACTTGAGAGGCAGAGGAAGGCAAGTTTGAAGTTAGCCTGTGCGACGTAGTGAGACCACACCATCTTAAAAAATAAAAAGTGTTAAATTACTTGCCCAAGGTAATAGAGCAAGAATTCTATCTCCCTCAACCTGTTAATATCATTGAAATGGGATTTTTTTTTTTCTTTTTGAGACAGGGTCTTGCTATGTAACTCCCCATCTTCCTACTTCAGCCTGTCAAGTACTGGGGTTACAGGTTTGTGACATCGCACCTTGCTGGGAGTGCTCTTTCTAACCTACATCAGTGTAAACTTTTAGGGATATCAAGAAAGTGAAAGATGCCCTTTCTGGTGATACTCAGACCATGCTGTGACAAAAAGATTATGAAGTAAATGTGACAAAGATAGGGCCATAAGGGTGAGGGCATGGCTCAAGTGGTAGAGCACCTGCCTAGCAAGCATGAAGTCCTGAGTTCAAATACCAGTTCCACCAAAAAGCTAGGCTTCAATTTAGTTTTACCCTTAACACTACAGTACTCTGTCGCCTTTTAGGGAGTTTTTTAATAGTTGTTAAATTAATGAAAGAGTAGGTGTGATTAGTGCCAATAACAACATGCAGAAACCAAATCAAACAATGTGCCATGATGCTCTCTGACTGCTAAGTTTGGGCCTTTCATGACACCTGCTGCTGAGCAAGCAGCACTGTACGCTGAGCTCTAAGAGGAAACTCAGACCATCTTCCTTGGAGCTGTCATGGCTATGCAGGCAGGGCTAAATGAGCACTTTAGTAGCTGGTGGCTCCCATCTGTAATCCTAGCTGCTTTGGGAGGCTGAGATTGGGAGGATCATTCATAGTTCAAGGCCAACCCAGGCAAATAGTTTGAGAGACCCTCCCCCCATGTCCAAAATAAAGAGCAAAATGGACTGGAGCTATGGCTCAAGTAGTAGAGTGCTTGCTTTGCAAGCACGAAGCCCTGAGTTCAACCCCAGTACCACAAAAAATTAAAAAAAAAAAAAAAGAGCACTCTAGCAAGGAATGAGAATTTCTTTCTTTCTTTCTCTTTCTTCAATGCTGGGAATTTTGAACTCAGGGTCTCATGCTTGCTAAGCACTTGAGCCACTCCACCAGCCCTTTTTCTGAGATGGATTTTTCTAAGATAGAGTTTCTGAAACTATTTGCCTGGGCTGGCCTTGAACGTCCATCCTCCTGATCTCTGCCTCCCAAGTACCTAAGATTACGGGCGTGAGGCACCCACACCAGGCAAGGAATGGAGATGTCCATTGCTGATTTTGCTGGTTGGGGAGGAGGGAGAGTGTAGCTCTTTATTGGACACGTTACATCTACAACTTGTATTTGATTTAGTGAATCTGGCCTTGGGATACCAGATTCCTGAAAGCAGACAGGACAGAATGGAGATGGGAATGAGTTGCTCTGTCCGTGCAATCAGCTGCTCCCCGTAATGTGCCTGAGGCTGGAGGCCCAAGCTGGGGTGAAGCTTGTGCTCTTGGAATAGCTTTCATTGCTGGCATTTTAGGTTCCTGGTGTCAAGACTGGGAGTCAGCAAGTGGACTAGACAAAGCTCTCAGTGAGGAGAGGGCTGTCAGCAGGCAAAGAAGGTGGGACTTTACTCCTAACATATTTTGTAGTGGTCTTCAGTAAAAGTCATAGGCCCTGCTTAGAAAGGCAGGAGGCTCAGTTGAGCTCAGGAGTTCAAGAACAATCTGGGCAACAGAGTGAGACCTTGGCTCAAAAAAAAAAAAAAAAAAGAAAGAAAGAAAATGTGACTCAAGTGGTAGAGTGGTAGAGCCTCAGTCTACCAAGTGTGAAGCCCTACGTTCAACACCAAAAAAAACCAAAAAACAAAGAAAAGAAAACAGAGAGTGGGGGGCAGGAAGGAGGGAGCGTGGGAGGGAGGAGGAAGAAAGAAAGAAAGAAAGAAAGAAAGAAAGAAAGAAAGAAAGAAAGAAAGAAAGAAAGAAAGAAGGAAAGAAGGAAAGAGAAAGATAAAAACCAGGCACCAGTGGGTCATGCCTGTCATCCTAGCTACTAAGGAGGCAGAGACCAGGAGGATCATGGTTTGAAGCCAATCTGGGCAAACAGTTCATGAGACCCTTTATTGAAAATAACCATCACAAAATGGCTGGCAGAGTGGCTCAAGTGGTAGAATGTCTTCCTGGCAAATGTGAGGCCCTGAGTTCAAAACCCAGTACCATCCAATAAACAAGTAAATAAAAATTATGCCATTACTGAGTGGTGATAGTCCTTTATGTATTCTGTATAGTAAACCCTTGTCAGATATATGGTTTGCAAATGCTTTCTCTCATTCTGTGAGCTGACTTTTTTTTTTGGCAGTGATGGGATTTGAACACAGAGCCTCAAGCTTGCTAGGCAGGTGCTCTAACACTTAAGCCACTCCACCAGCCCCTGTCCCTGTGATCCTGTGAGTTGTCATCCCCCCCCCCACCCTCAGGGCAGTGCACTTCCTAGGAAAGCACTCTATCATTTGACCTATTCCTTCCCTACAGCCTTTTTTGCTTTAATTTATTTTTTAGATAGGGTCTCCTAATTTTGGCTCAGGGATGACCTCAGACCTTGATCCTCCTACCCCTGTCTGCTTTTTAAAAATATATTGTTGTTGTACTGGGTGTACATTGTGACATTTACAAAAGTTCTTACAATATGTCATAGTTGAATTCACCCTTCCATAACCCTCCTGTAGGCCAGTTTATTTTTTAATAGGGGCTCGAACCATGAGTCTCCCATATCTACTTCCCAAACAGCTGGTCACACCTGGCTTCTTTTCATTTTTTTTTTATTGGCACTGGGGTTTGAACTCAGGACCTCACATTTACTAGGCAGATGCTCTACCACTTGAGCCATGTTCCAGCCCAAAGTTTTTAATTTTGATGTTGTCCAATTTATTTATTTTTGGTTGCTGTGCTTTTGGCATCATGGCTACCAAACTCCTTGCTCATGCCAGACACATTTAATCAGTTATGGTATTCTTTGTCACGGAACCCAGGTGCCACCTACCCTGAAATCTTCCTCCACACTGTGCTATAGGCTTGTGTGATTACAAGCACAAGCTCTGGAGATAAGCAGGGCAGATTCAAACCCCATCAGGACTCCCACTTAATGGAGGGATTTTCTCCTCCTTAGGACCGCTTTACCAGGCAAGCAAAATGCTAGGTGTTGGTCAGAGAAATCAAAGATGAGGGTAGAGGAGGAAGATAACAAATACGGCTT